CACCATTTGCTGTCGCCATCATGAACACGTAAGTACAACAAGTTTCGAAGGGTGCACGAACTACGTGGATCGCATGATACATTTTTTTTTTTTTTTTACTAAACACACCGGAGGAAGTAACACTTCGATCCATTCGTCCTCACCGTGATCCCCTTCTTCTCATTTCTCTTTTTCTTATTTTCCTTCATTTTTTTTTTCTCTTCCTTACTAACGTATATCTCTTATGTCTCTTTACCTTATAACGTAGCGTGCTTACAAATATAGTTTCTTTTTTTTTTTCTTTTCTTTTCGATCAAGTCGATTCGCCTAACATTAGGCTCCTTTCTTCTCTCTGACACGAACACAACACACGAACAGTGTTAAAATTCAATCGAAGCCGTTCTTTTCTAACGTTCGTAACAAACGGCGTGCAGTGCCTGGCAGAAATAGAAAATACACACAAATCTGTGAGACACGTCGCAAAATTTTCCCTTCTTCGAGGACCGTTTTCTTATTTTTCTCTTGTTTTTTTTTTCTTTTTTGCTTCATGTTTCGGTCCTCCGTGGAAAAATCGTCTCTACAGAGATATACATACCGATTTTACCGCTAAACTTAACAAAACACACTCGTCTAAAGAACTCGTGTACGCTTACACAGTAAGCATCGTGCGGAATTTTCTTTATTTGTTTCTTTATCAAGCCTATAATCAACTCTGGCGAACCTCGCTCGTATACACCAATCGTTCTTCTCTAGTTCCACTCTGTCTCTATAGAAGAAGCTTCTAAAAACACGGTCTCGTTCAATTTTCCAACAACCGGCGCGTTTTATATTGTGTACAAAAATTTATACATAATTAGCCTATCGATTACAACGTTTGATTTTTGATGCGTCGTTCGTTGGAGAATCGAACGATCCTTCTATATATGTATATACGATTCACACGTTGAAGCACAAGATAACTGCGTTTAACATTATTTACCTAACAATGAAATTTCTATACGCCTACGATTCCCTATTCCCCTCGCAAAATATCTCACAAAATAGACCTCTTTAATTTCATTTCCATCCTACGGTAATTAATAGCTGTATGTGTTTATTAACCCTCTTCTCGTAGAAAAAATAACGTTCGATCTTAAAGTGCGATCGGTTCCTTTTACACACACTTATATTTACACTACTGATTACGATTCTTTTTTATTTTTTTTTTTGTTTTGTCATTTCGTTTCACGTGTTTGCGTCGATTGTTCTAGCTATTGAAATTTTTCTTCTCGTGTAAATTCTTCGAGATAACGATGTACGATATCTGTGCTTTTCGTGAAGTGACACGAAAACGGTGAAATAAAAAGAAAACTTTCGTTTTGAGCTGAGAAATGTTCAGTCTGGTGAAACGAATCGTTCTGGAAACGATCGTGATATCGTAAAAAAATTTGTGTCTCGGGAAGTTCTGCGTAGATTCCTCTATTTGCGTTAGAAAATATTCTAATACATTCATTCGGTATTAAGAAATAATAATTACCTCTAACGTCGTATAAAAATAAAACTCGAAATTTTTAGCTGTAGTTTCTTTTTTTCCCTCTCTTTTCATTTTCTATCACCGGCTACTAACTCTCATCGCCGCGCGAAAAACTCTTCCGAAACGATTACGGTCGATTATAAACCGATCGGACTGAAGGTTGCGCGACGAAAATGTAATCTTACTAACTTCCCATCCGAAGATCAATCAGCTTGGAAAACCATCGAGATAATCACAGCGTTTAAAATTCAGCAAGTATCATCGATAATGGTATGAAAACATTCGATACGTGTTTTATACAAGCTCACGTACAGGGTGTTCCGTTTCAAACGAACCAAGTGAATTTCGACGCCGAAGGAAATTTCAGACGATCCTTGAAAAAAAAAAAAAAGTGAAAAACGAAACCGAGATAAGTATTAATTGGAAATTTAAATCCCGCTACGCTTAAATATTCCAAAATGATATATTTTTCGATCTTCTTAGTGTGTGAAATAATTTTTTCTAAAGCAAAAATAAATTCTCAATTTTCGTCCGAAATATTTTTCGACAAAAACGCCACTGAAATAGCTCTACCGTTAGTACCATTCTATCGTGTCGTATCGAAAAACAAATCCTTTAAGCAACAACCAGAAGCAACGAGAATATGTATAAAAAACCACGTTTAATCCTATCTTCTTAATCGTACTGTGTCAGCAATTCGTTGAAAATCGACGAAACAATTCGTCTGACTGATAGAGTTCCAACTGTTCCTACGTCAACAACAGAATAGAACGTTCCCGGACTAAAGAAACAACCATTGTCGTTCCTAAAGTCTCGTGTACAATTGTTCGAGCTTCGAACAATTCGTTAAAAAAGTCACTCCAATTCGAAGACTATCTCTATTTTCACACATCCTTTCGTCGTCTCTCAGAATTACGCTCTCCTCCTACTAGATCATCAACTGTCGACGGGCAACAAATTCTTGCTCTCTGTCTCATACAGGGTGAGTTTTCATTCAACTTAAACCCTTTCGTTACTATCTCCTTCTTTATCCATATTTTATCCGGTGAACGTAATATGGATAAAATTTCATGAAACCTCGTCCTGAGACGAGGAATATTATTATTATTCAACACCTACGGCGATTTCTTCGCTGGTGTGTGTATTATCGATCGGATGCGTGTGCCTGTGTCTCTGTGTGTGTGCATGTTTGTGTGTGTTGATAAAATGCGGACGAGTTCGCGAAGTTCTATGCGGAACTTCCGAAAGGGGGGGGGAAGAAGCTCGTCCGCCTCGCGGTTCTTCGAAATTGGATGTTCGCGAAGAAGCAAGATGGCTACACCTCGACGTTGTAACATGCCGCCTTACAACGCCTCTTCTCGAACACGAGACATCGCTGGCATTTTAATGAAATTATCACGGCAGAGAGATAGAGACCGATTTGCGTGGGCGTGTCACTCTGATGTTAGTTTCATTAGAATTCCAGAAACCTGTGTTCGCTATCGCTTCAAACCTCTCCTTGGCTATCTCTTCCTTTCGCTTTTTTCGGTTTTATTTTGTGTCGAAGTAAAGACAACTTATCTGTCTTTCTTCATTTTTTTTTTTTGCTATTGTAACAACCAAAAAGAGAATCTGAAGATATTCCAGCGAAGGAACTGCATTTATTGTAATTCCAACTGTTCGAACTTTCAAGTGAAATTGTAACTGAATATGGATTCTGTTATTTTTTTTTTTCCGGTGTACAGTGGATTTTGTGGTTTTTTTTTAGACTGTTTTATGAACGTGAATTAGTTCTCGAGTTTCTACAGAATTTTAGTAAATGAAGCTCCATCGCGTTCTTCTTCTCCAACGGTAGCTATTGCTAACCTGCTGCTTCTCTACTTTCTCTCCCTCTCTCTTGGGCTGCAAGCAGCCGTCTTCTAAATAAAATTAAAAAAAAAAAGAAAAGAAAACAAAGTTGCTGAAAAAACAACAAAACGATGGTGTATTACTGTCATTTAACATCGCATGCATGATGCTTATCGTCGAACGATTACGTTCGTGTATCTTGTTAGAGCGTCTTTTCCCTGGTGTTCTCTTCTTCACGAGAGAACACACATCGTAGGACATCTCCGTTCCCTTTAGAACTCGATTATGCGAGTGAGAAATCATTCGTTCCACCGTCGAATCACGATGGTCTTGGTTGCAAATTCTCCGAGGGGTGGAAGAAAAGAAGATAAAGTTTTGCTTCTTTATAAATATCTGTTAACCTTATCTCTCCTTCGATTCACGTGTCGTTCTCGCCCCTGGAGAATTTGCGAATTATGCTAATAAAGTGTTCCTCGATTGTTCGAAGGATCCAAAAAAAGATTGTCTGCGATTGACACTCTCTCATTCATTCTCTCAACTTCTCACTTGGCTTGGAGCAGGTATACCAACCATACTTACCATTTCGTACAGTTAAACATCGTCGTCTCGTAAAAACGTATAAAAAATTCCTCTTCGTCGAGCGCTCTTTCTCTTTTACTTCCGTCTTTTCTCATTTTTTTGACGTAGTGGCTCATTGTCTCTCTACGTCGCGCCTCAGTCACTGGTCCGTATTCTTCTTCTTCTCCTACCTATTCTACCTTTTTTTTTTTTCGTTTTCCTTTTCTATCACAATTTTCAAGGGAGCGCACACTTTTTCCGTTTCTCTTCCCGCCAGGTGCGATTCGTCGCCGTTGTGGCGCGAGATCGCACCGGACTTGTGAGACGACAAGAGGAACCAGCTTCGAAGAGAGTTCAACATGTGGACGAAAAACTACTCGCAGTCTCGTCGTTGTTTTTGAGCTATCGCGTTTAATTGACTCGAAAATAGTGAACACTAGGGATTCGTTTATGGCAGTGCATGAACAGGAGGCGAAATCGAGGATCGATCTGTGTGCTTTTTTACACGCGTTTCGTGGATACAAGTAAATAAATATCGGTGTAGAAAATTGACGTTAAGTTGAAGCTTGACTTTTGTGCATTTTCACTGGGTTAAGATCGTCGAATCTTTCAATCAGTATGAGGAACTCGGACACAAGTTGCAGCGTGAAGATAGACCGAAGTACGGAAAAATTGAACAGATCTGAATTAAGTAACACAAAGTCCACCATTTTTCTGTTAAACCTTGCATTCTTCGACACAATTCGTGAAATTCGGTTCGCAAAGAAATTTCCGAATTAAGTAACACAAAGTTCTCCATTTTTCTGTGAAAAATTCGTGAAATTCAATTCACAAAGAAACCTCTATTTCAACTCATAAATTCTGTCGTATCTTCAATCACTGCAACGAAAAAATCCACCTGAACGAACGCTTGTCTTCATATCTAAAGGAACAACATCAGATTCTTAAGGAACCAAGGCACTCGAGATCACTCTCACGGAAGCTCGTTTATGCAAACGTATCGACCCTCGACTCGTCGAATTTCCCGAGAACCGTGCGCTCTTCGTGCCTAACCTCTCTCTATCGACCGACAACAAACTCTCTCGATCGCGCACGCGATCCAGAAGATCGATCTGCGCTCGGTGACTGAGGGTTCCGACTTGGCTCCGATGTCTTCCGCGGAGATTTCCACGGAGCGCGACGCTGCTTCAGGCATTTTCACCAAGAGAAATAGGCGTCGCGACGCTCACACCGGTGGCGGTCCTCTGACGTAGCGCAGCTGCGGTGTGAGCGAAAGGTTCAACGTGTTGGTCGCCTCGCAGCAATGAGGTTCCAACAAGCAGGCGGTGCAGAATAGAGCGACCAACGCCAGCTGAAACGGCAAAGCTGTCCTCAGGATGCGCCAAACCCAGCTCTGAGGAAGATCAGGCTCGCTGTCAGGATCTCCTCCGCCGTCTGTTGCGCCCTTCTTCTTAGGCGAGATCGCCACGATCCGCTTTCCACCTCCCTTCGACATCTCCGTTGAAGTGGCCTTTTTGCGCTTGCTGTATAGACAGGGCAGAAGGAAAATCGACATTTTTTTTAGAGAATTTTCTTTCTTCGTTAGCTGTGTTGTTCTGTATAGCATATGGTACACTGCAGAAGCTGAGGAGTTCGGTTCGGTGGATGTTTGTTTGTTTGTTTGCTGGCCTTCGGTTTTTGGTGATTCGTTTTCGATGGTTTTTGGAGGAGGTTTTCGGAGGTTCGATTGTGTTGTGGATTTAAAATTGTGTGATGATTTTTGGAACTAGAACTGCTTATTTCAATAATAATTGTGAATAGTTTAAGGAATAATTGAATGTTTTAATTGTAGGTGATTCTTCAATTTCATTTAAAAATTTCTTCTAATACTGGTATTTTTCGTGTGCCACGAAACGTGTTAAGCGACTACTCAGTGTGAATTGTAGTGTACATACAGGGTGCTTCAAAGAAGTGTTAACACTTATATGGAGAATTTGTGTATGTTTTCTTTTCTTTGGAGAGCACCTGGAGAAGGTTCCAAAAATGTGTTGACAATAATAGTGAACGAGTGAATATACTGTATTATCAGTTATGTTAACAGTTTCTTTAAACACCCTATTAGAGTAGATTATATTCTATTTCTGAGGTTTCGAAGATGTTGTGTTTCTTATTAGAACTGAAAATAATTCTTTTCAAAAATGTATTCCATCTTTGAATAAAGCAAAGAGTAATACACTGAGCAAATATTTTTGAATGTTAATATGTGTGCATTAAAATCGTTTGTGATTTCGGAAATCAATTTGTGATATTGTTTAAATTGAAAAAGTGTTCTTGTGAGTGGATTGATCTGGAACGAGGAAGAGTCTGGCTATAGCTAAAAATTCTGCAGATAAAGAAGAAAAATTCGTGCAAGCAGACGTAAAAGAGGCTGTGAAAGGAGATAAATAGTGTGAGAAAAATGATTAGAATAGTATACAGGTATTAAAATATGATAAATTACTGTGAAAATGGACGAACACGTAAAATAGATCCTGGCGATTAGTCAGCCGAACAACAATCATATTAGTTTCCGTGTTGAAGATTAAATTAATCCTAAAGTCGACTAACCGCGAACTTCATCTAGCTACGAGACCTTAAGGTGTCTCTGTAATCAAGTAAATTAATTTACAGTGTCCCGTGGGTGAAAGTGAAGCCGGGAAATGCGTAAAAGGCAAGTTCTCAGGGAAATCAAATCATTCCGAGTGTCTCCATGTCTTGAAACTTCTATTGTTAAGTGACTTTCACGAGCAATTCTAACGATTTTTCACGTTTCTACTGGAAAACGATGGAAAATTTGTTGAATTCTGTATTTTTCCTTTGTTCGAATAAAATAATAAAAATAACGGAGGCAAAGACATTTCTGGAATTTAACAGAGGGAAGGAAAAAAAGACGGGGAAAAATACGAGTCGACGAGCGAGAAAGGGAGGTTTTACAACTTTTTTTATGATGCAATATGGCCGGCATTCTATGCTCACGAAAACTAAACCTATTACCGTTGCCACCGTGCAGTGATTAAATGCGACTATAAAAAGCATCCTTCAAACAAAGTTAAATAAGGTGGCCGCGGTGATAATGGGAATTCGGAGTAATTGCGATTGAAAGAGCGGGTCACGAAACGGATTTCTTTAGGGGGAGTACACACGTTTCAACGCTTTTCTTCTATGCCTGATCTGGATTTTCTGCTTCTGTAAATATTCATCCCGAACGAAAAGTAGAATAAACTTTAAAATGTAAGTGAATTTAAGTAATTTTGAAAAATCTGTAAAACTCTAAAAGCTAAGTAACTTTTACTCTAAAATTATTAAGATTCTAGAATTTAGGTAAATTTAAAATCTGTGTAATTTTTACTCTAAAATCTTAAAAAACTCTGAAAGCTAAGTAATTTTTCCTGTAAAATCTCAAAAACTCTGAAAGCTAAATAATTTCTCCTCCGAAATCTCAAAAACTCTAAAATCTAAGCAATTTTTAAGTCAAAAGTGGACCAAAATTGAATCAATTGAAATTGAGGTGTTTCTACAAACCAGAGACAATGATTTTTACATAAAAATTCTGAAAAAATTCAAAGAACTCAAAAAAACCAAGGTGAAAAAGAAATATACTTTCGATTTTCTCTTTTCACACGAAGTTTCATCGACGAAGAATAGTCCTTGGTGTAACAATTTCTCGGTTGTAAGTTATAAGGAGAATAGACGTGGAATATTTATGGGAATGCAATGCAGTACGAGGTTCTTCAAGGCGGTTTCCATGGGACAAGAAGACGGAGAACGTCACGGAGCGTTCATTCACAGCTAACTTCTTATATTCAAATGAGTGGACGCGTTATGGGAGCAGAACTATGAACGAGCAGGCTCTTGTCCCCACGTCTAAATAGACGCCTTCATTCTTTGCTTCTCATTTCGACGTTATGCAAATGGAATGCGCGCCGAGAAGGTCGTTCTTTATTCCCTCGAAAGTCTTGAAACGCCTGAATAAATTAAAAACCACGCGTCCGTACGTTTACCTCAAGAATACTGTCTTTTTCGTTTACTTTTTTGCCCGTATGTTGGAAATGATCAAGCGTTCGAAACAAGCAAGTGCGTTCAGTGACTTGAAAATGAAAGTAATATCACCGTGATTTAATGTTTGCATGCGATTCATCAAGCTTCGGGAAATGGGAAAATAAACGCGCTGATATTCTAGTAATTATTATTACGTTTACGAGTTATAATTTTTACTCTCATCTCAAATTCTCAAATCTCTCCGTTTCTAAATTTCTCAAATCCCTCAATTTCTAAATTTCTCAAATCTCTCAATTTCTCAAATTTTGTAAATTCTCAAATGTCTCAATTTCTCAAATTCTAAATTTCTTAAACTCTCAAATCTCTCAATTTCTCAAATTTTGTAAATTCTCAAATGTCTCAATTTCTCAAATTCTAAATTCCTTAAACTCTCAAATCTCCCAATTTCTCAAATTTTGTAAATTCTCAAATGTCTCAATTTCTCAAATTCTAAATTCCTTGAACTCTCAAATCTCTCAATTTCTCAAATTCTCAAATCTCTCAATTACCTAAATTTCTCAAATTCTCAAATCTCTCAATTTCTCAATTACACTGGCAAAATGATTCCAATAAAAATAAGAACAAACATAAACCAGATCAGCATATTTCCATCTAGCACGGTATTTAATTAGCGCAATACTCTCACATTCTACAATTACAAACTACAAAGAGATTCAATTTCTCTTCCAAAGAGGAGCACACAGTTAAAAGGTTAAAGCAAGACAGCCGCACTTTTTGCACCGAGTTACAAAAGAGTTCTCTGTGCAATCAAATTTGTCAGCCAAGCGATAAAAATGTAAAAAAAAAAAAGAAGAGGTACTCACTCCGCAAAATGATGGACCTGGCTGCTCGTTCGCTTCGCAGCTCGCGCCTCGACGCTCGCTGCCGTGCGTACGATCAATTCGCGACAGTGCTTCTGAAGATCCCGGAGCTCCGTTTCCGCGTCTTCGACGCGTTTCCAGAGTTCAGAGAGCGCCTCGCTTCCGGGCGCAAGCTGGCTCTCCAAGCTACGGGTCAGTCGACGAAGGGCGGCCAATCTTCTCTCCCGTTCGCTCAACTCTTGCTCGCTTCCGCTGTCGGAGATCCCACTGTCGGACAGCGAGCCGCCTTCCTGCGTTAGACTGATCGGCGACGAGTCACCGAATTTCGCCGCCACCCCACTGCTCACTTCCTCAGTGCTCGAGTCTTTCAACACTGTCCCGTTCTGCAACAAGAGCATTCAGAACGCTCGACTTTGATCCGAATTGTATGGGCTGATAATAGCTTTTTTGCTCCTTTCACATTCTTACAGAGGTGATTCGTACCGGTAACTTTGCTTGTCTCGATAGTTCTTTTTTTCTTTGTTTTATATCGGTGTTGCGTAATCGTGTTATAATTGTGAAGGGTAGAAAGTGGTGAAAATGTTTGAAATTCTACCATTCGAATTGAACAGCTGATAGAATTTTTGCTCATTTGAAATTCTTAGAAAGGTGATTCGTTCAGCAATTCTGGTTTTCCTTCGTTGGGGTTATGTAATTGTGTTGTAATTGGGGAAAAATGAAAGTGGTATGTTCAATTGTTTGGGAAAGTTAGAGAAAGTGCTTTTGATTTCTCTTCCAATTGTTGAAAGTAATTCATTCAATTATCCTTTATCATAGCTGAAACCAAGTATTTCGAGTAACGTATGAATAAAATATAAGAATTTTTGCAATACAGGAAGAAAATTTCTATTTTTCTGAAATTATTTCGAACTGTATATAATTTGCACGCGAAAGTGAAACGTTCCATCTGATAGCAAAAAGAAACTTCACACTTGTATCAGTTTTATCTGCTATATTTATAAACGTATGTCAAGAATTATCCAAAAATTTGCTCGAATTAATTAATTCTAATATGCAAATCCAAATTTGTCACAATTTAAAAGTGAACATGGTCTTTTACTAAAGATTTTTGATCCATCGATAAATTAATTAAGCATTCGCCGCGCAAAAGAATTTTTGCCGTCAAACAAGAAGAATTAACGTTAAACGGTGCAATTTAATTATATTTTTTCACGTTCGTTGTAAGTCGCGTCGATGCCTCGAATTTCCCGGCGATCGATTACAGGGAAAATCACGAAAGGATGTGCTTAAGCCGTGCCGCTGATTAGATCACGAGATGCTGATAGGTATAAATACACCCCGGGAGAATACGATATCGAATATTGCATAATCCAGCGTTGGTTATTGCCGCCGGGCAACCGGAAGGCGTATAAGACGATTATACAGAGGAAGAAGGGGGGCAAAGGATGGGGTGAGTGCAAGAAAGGAAGCAGACGGAATTCGCAGGGGCGTACGATGTCAACTGGAACGTTTCAGACTTTCGTACAAATTTTTTTCAATCTTTTCATTTCTTCGTTTATGAGACAACAAAGTTTTGCTGAATAAAGAACGAAGAAGTACGAGAGACGAGAAAATTAAAGGATATTTAATAGAATGAGGATATTAGAAATTTTCGTCAAATTTTCGTCAGTGTGAGAAATGACAGGTTCCAGATATATTTCTGAAGTACAAGGGTGGAGTTGAAAGATTTATCGAGGTAGAAATATATCACACGTTTTTGACTGAAAAACAATAAATCGTGCAAGGGATACGTGGAAGGGATCGTTCTTAACTCTGGACCTGACAGTGTGAGTAAAAAATAGTACAAACGAAAATTCAGCTTTCTTCAAAAAAAAAAAATGCACCTGAGAATCGTCGAGGTGTACAAGAAAATTCTCCACGAGCAGAGAGAAATCTATGAAAGAAAAAACCTTCCCACGACACAGTTGAAAAATTCAGGAACAAAAAGCTTCTCTAGCATCCCGTCAATCATCGTTCTCAACATCCTCCTCGAGAAGAACACCTCTCACAGACCACCATCCCTATCACTCGCGACAGATACCAGCGTCACGTAAGCCGTTTCGCTTCCGATATGAACTCGTTCCCCCCGCAGTCAAAGAAACCAAAGAGACGAAAAAAGGGGGAAATAATCGCGAAAAGCAAGGAGAGAACAGAAAGGAGGGACACGAGGCCGCGACACGAAACTCTGATACCAGACAGCAAGCAATGGTAATAGTAAAAAAAGCGGCAGGGTGCGGAGGATTTCGAAACGCGAGAGCCAGAGAAAGAGAGAGAGAGAGAGAGGTGAGAGAGATGAGAGAAAGACAGAAAGAAAGATGAGAGAGACGAGAGAGCAGAAGAGAAAGAGAGATGAAAGATACGGAGAGAGAGAGAGAGAGAGAGCGGCGGAACGGCCCCAAGAGGTGAGGGGACGAGGAGGAACGAGAGGGTTGGTTTAGGCTGTTGCAGCTACGGGTCTGCGGAGAAGAGGAGAGGAGGGGGAGGGGGAGAGCCTCCGGTAATGAAAAGCGCGATCCGCATACCAAGTAGCAACCTTCAACCTAACCTATATATAAGTCGGTATACTCCTGTATAACGGATAGTAGGTACGAAGTGAGTCTCGAGTCAGAATCCACGTTGCCCGAAGGACCAATCACGTAGACAGAAAACTGCGAGAATTCCTTATTTCCGGCCGATCTAGTAGGGCGGACTCGGTAACAGGGCCACACTCTCACGGAGATCCTTCTCTCTCCTACTATGGCTAACCTTGGAATATATCGCGTGTCATCTTGGAGCACAGAGGGAGTTAGGTCGCTGAATACCGTCTTGGAAGAGTTCGAATCGGAAGGTTTTATCGACGGAACCCGGGGTTCGATTTCGTTCGTAGATATTGATGGAGTTTCCCGAGGTTCGTTTGTACCTTGCCAATTCGGCAGAGTTTCCTTTACGGATGGGGCGATATAAGAGGTGTCTTTGGGTGGTGTGAATATATTTGAGAAACGATTTTGGATTACTCGAGTGAAATTTTGATTTTCTTTCGTTCAAGAGACTTCCTTTCAACGGCGAAATTCTATCGAGTTTCTTTGCGGATGGAGTGCTTTCTTTGAATTCGAGTCCCTTGCAGATATTAATAGAGTTCCATAAATGAAGAATTCTTCTTAGCTTCTCTGCAGCTAACAGCAGAGTGCTTCTGAATTCTTCTGAACACGCAAACAGAGCGCCTTAGAGTTCCACGTATTACTTTGATCTCTGTAGAATTTTCCCCAAAACAGCAATAGAGTGCATTTTGGGTTCTCTCGAAAATACGAATAGAGTGCTCTCAAGTTCCCTCGTCACAAAAATCAACCCAACATCTACCAATCGCTCCACAGAAATCCATCGAACACTCTCAAGCTCTCTCGAGACAAGTCACTAGAGCGCCTTCGAGTTCTCCTGCAGATATCGACAGCAAAACAAATATCGTATATCCCGCAGCAAGCTATCTGTCCAGCATACGAATTGTTTCTATCGGATCTTATAATTAGACCCATCTAATTCGATCGCGGCGTATAATTAGGACTTGGCGACGGGAATGAAACTAATGTAACGGTCTAAAGGGCAGGCAGATAGAGAGGATGAGGCGCGTGATAAAATTGTTGCCAGGGCCTCCTCTCGCCATCTCGATGAGTTGGACGAGAGGCAGCAGCAAGCAACCGCAAAGGTGAACCTCCTCCCGAGGAAGGTTCTCGCGGACTCTGAATTATTGCAGGTGAAAAGTAAAACTGGGCATTACAGAGATAATTGGCCCCGTGCAACGAGTCCGGCAATTTTTTCTGTCTCCTGTTAATTCGTGATATCGCGTTACATAAATTCGCCGTTCAACTCTCGTGGCTCTCCCCGGGCAACTTCTCTTCACCAAATGAAACGTTCTCCGTTACGTTGTCGAGACGTCCCGCGGAGATTGTACAACAAACGTTTAACGTTCTGTTTATCTGTTGTTACAAAGAAGTTACAAAACTGCGGTTTATTTAAACCGGGATGAACGTTTAAACGGACAGTTGGCGTTTCTGATTAAAGAGAGACTCGAAAATTTATGCTCCACGATGGAAATTAATCCGGCAACAAAAAGTTCATGTCGAGAAACAGAAATTCTCTACGAATCGCCAAAAAATAAGGAAACTTTTCTAATTAAGTCTAGCCTGATCAGAAGTTCCCAAGGATTGGGTTAAGTTTCCCCGAAAGAATCTTCTCTTCCTACGCTCTTCTCGGACAATCCAGAGTAAAAGACGAAGAAAGAACCGAATGAACAGTCTGATCAAACACACGTGGCCATCGTTTTTCGCCACCGGAAGCGCTAATCAGCGAGCCGAGCCTGTTAGTTCTCTAGGCCAGACCGTAGAAAGAAGCGTGGCCGGTCTCGTCGACACCGGTGCATCCGCGGGCTACAATTGGTCAGTCGAGCGATCCAGGCAGCGATATTAAATTTGTATTTTTACGCTGATTCCACGGGCCATTTCCGTACGTGAGGCGAAAGGGAATCGTTCGGGCGATTAACGATCCGTGCTCCCTAGGGAGTCGCTTTTGCTCTGAGGTAGCCAACACCATCTTACGACTACGGGCGACTCCGGTATGTGATCCTAAAACTCCTACGTCCGTCTCGAGCCGACTTCCTATTCGCTAATATTTTATTTAACGTCTATCAAAATTTATGGATTTCTCGCCGAAGGCAACCGATAGTTGGGGAATTTAATGTTCACCCGGTAGACGCTTCGCTCTCGTTTGCACGTTAAAAAACACGGAACAATGCGAGCGTGCTGGTGCTGTTTAGATTAAATATACAGATGCGAGAGAGTGTTTGAGAGGAATCGAGAGGGTTTCTGTTGCGAAAGTGAATCGACGTGAAGTCGATACACTTTGGTTTTAATAGAAATGATTTCACCTGTACGGTGCGATCCTTTTCTTCGTTTTGTTTCTGACTGTATGACATAACTAAGTAGCGTGTTATGCAAGAGCATTGTATGCATTGTTTCAAAGCGTGAAACTGCTGAAATTTCATCGATGGATCTAAGGATAAGAGAAATCTAAAATTGATAAGGCGAGATAAACCGAGTCTCCCTGATTTGTTGCGTTATCTTTGCAACAGTAAAATTTAAATAATTCACCTAAACTCAGAATTTTTGCTACGCATAAGTAGATTAAAAATGGAATTTCTTTCACTTTCCATATTTAAATATAAATAATCTCACGTCAATTCCATTCAATTTATCAAAATTTCTAAACATCACCCATTAACGTTTTCACACACAAACGCAACGAGCAATTCCCCTAATCCCGCGGAAATAAATACAAGCAGAATCGGCAGTCGCAGCGGAACTATTACCGTTCC